AAGAAATTTTGAATTTTTTAAAACTCGAAGAAACAATGCGACGTATTATAGACGCTCAAAACTCCCGATCTCATAAATTCATTAATTATGATTTAAAAGGAAAAAAGTTATACTCCGTAATATACTACAATTCAATAATGTCCATCCACTATATGAATTGAAGGTGAATTTATCCTGTGGATTGAAAAGATACACAGTACACCGTACTATTTTAATGAACTCGGTTTCAGCCAGCTGGAGATTACATAAGCTTGCATGCCTTGTCCCTTTTATCTTTTTCACAATTTTAACCTGTCTCTACTTTCACCCATTTTGGCTCAAACATGGACAACCATGCCTTCCCATTCTCATGTGAACTATCAAATTTAGCATATTGGCTATGGGGCTGGGGCTGACTCTGCAATACACTATACACACACATATATATATGGACCATCATACTGAAATTACGTACATACGGTGGCCTTCTTAGTTTAAATCAGTCAATTATATACAAGTTAAGCTTATTTATCTCTTTATGGTCATTTGCCAGTTATAGTCACAAGGTGAGTTTAGATAGTAACGGACAAAAAATGTTTATGGATTTTAAGGCATCCAATGCTAATTGAAGTTATATTGTAAGTAATTTGTTTATGAATGATCACAATGTCACATGACATTACATGAGCGAGAGCAGTGATCATCAATACAATATAAAAGAAGATTCTGATTTATTAATTACGGAGTACTTATTAGTATTCCAAGAGGCCCACGCATATAGACAAGATAGTTGTTCTTGTATTAACGTCTAACTCAAACCGAATCTAAATTAGTTTTATATTCTTGAAAGAAAGATAAGCTAGCTAGTTACATTGTTTCCTTATATTGAATCTTGAGACCTGACCCAGACCAAATTCATGTTTTTGAGTGATCGACAAGTGAAACTTGTATTATTGAACAGACGAAGGAATCCGCAGTGAGAATACCATGTAAATCACACATGAGGGGTAAATTGCACAATTTTGAGTGATAAGGGGAACCCACACTAGGAAGATCATATAAACTTACACAAAATATATACGTAAACTATACTAGAAAGATCATGTGCTACGGGCCTAACCGACAAAATTTTGACGAAGATTAAACTCGTGATTTTTTTGTATGAGGATTATAGTGAGATAAGGGGGATGGAAAAGATAAACCTAAAAAAAAGAAAGCCTAGAATTAATACAAGCTGGCTATACCATTAAAAAACACACAATCTTGTTAAGCATTGGCTCGTTTTCACAATACATTTTAATGTTACACTCTCCGTTATATATATATTTTATACTACGTGTGATTCAGTGTCCACTCTACCAGTGGGCTATAGCTTCTAGGCACTCGTACATTACTATATTACCTCCCCCGCCCCCCACGCCGCTGCCATTCATCTCTCCATCTCCCCTTCAAGCTTTGCGTTACTCGCCGGAGAGATCCGAGAACGCTGAGGATTTGGAGGGAGCGGATAATGGATATCTACGGAGGAGTGTCGGCGCCGGAACTGTTTCGCATTGATGATCTTCTCGACTTCTCCAACGCCGACATTTTCTCTTCCTCCGCCGTAGACGACTCATCGAACCACCACCTCCTCCCTCACTCCGCCGAGACCACCTCCTCCCCTGCCGACAACTACTTCTTCAACCCCCACTCCTCCGCCGACTTCACCCACGACCTTTGCGTCCCAGTAAGTAGTTAAGTACAAGAGTTTGGTATTAGTAAATTACTAATTTGCCCCTGCTTTTTCTGTTGATGGAGCTAAGATAAAATTATGAAATTTCTGACCATCTGAAAGTAATCTTAAATTAGGTAGAAAGCCTTGTTTCGATCATTTTTGGTATCTGACTTTTTACTTTTAATTTGATTTAATATTACATTCTGATGGTCAGAAATTTCATAATTTTCAGCAATTAATTTGTTATTACTCCCTCTATCTTAGACTTATAAGTCTAAGTAAGAAAGAGTGGAGTAGGAAATTACTAATTAGCCCTTGTTTTGTTGTGTGGATGGAGTGAAGAGTGAAGATGCGGCGGAGCTGGAATGGCTATCGACGTTTGTGGAGGATTCGTTCAGCGACATTGCGGCGAACTCGACGATGAATCTGACGGCGAGCAGCGCGGCGTTTCAAGGCCGGTCCAGGAGCAAGCGATCCCGATCCGCCGCTACAGGATGGACCGCCGCAATGCAGCCGCCGCCGCCGCCGCAGGAGACGGTTACTCACGAGATCTCCAACAATAAGAAGCGAGAGAGTTCCGAGGACGTGCCGCGCAGATGCACGCACTGCGCCTCCGAGAAGACGCCGCAGTGGCGGACCGGACCGCTGGGCCCCAAGACGCTTTGCAACGCCTGCGGCGTCCGTTTCAAGTCCGGCCGCCTCGTCCCGGAGTACCGCCCCGCCGCTAGCCCCACCTTCGTGCTCACTCAGCACTCCAACTCTCACCGGAAAGTCATGGAGCTCCGCCGCCAGAAGGAGCTCTTCCGTCAACAGCAACAGCAACAGCAGCAGCAGCAACAGGAGATGTACGGTCGTCACTTTCAGGTCTGCTGACGCCAGCTAGCTCCCCCCGCACGTGTTATCGCCATATCCCATGCTCGCTTTTCTTTATTTTCGCTTTTTTCTTTTTTCGATTCTCAGAAAATTTCCGCTGAGTACTCAAACTTTTTAATTAATTATTTATATCTTTTGTGCTGAAAATATCTGCAACAAATTTAATAAATCCTCCCCCCTTTTTGCCTTTCTCTTTTTGAATAATAAATCAAATTGGCATTTAATATACATTAACGAAAATTTAATAGGCGTAAGATTTGGTCAAGGTAACATCATGAAGTAAAATTTAAAAATATGTACCACATGTTCACATGTAATAAGAATAATACTTGGGAATGCAATGTAAATATGAACTTATAGCCATTAGATCAAAAAGTGAATTGAAACCACAATAAATTAATTTTAATTATAACAATATAAAAGTGGTTAAATTAATTGAGTCCTTCAAGCTTATCCTCCTAAAACTCAAAAGTTAAGTGTATGTGTATAACTCTCATTACATTACATGTATTAATTATATTGAAAGAAAAAAAAATGAAAGGAAATAAAAAATAAATTTCTATTTTTTCTTTGGAAAAAATAAAAGAAAAGAAAGTCAAATTGGTTAGTGAATTTATAATTTTATATAATTAAGTAATTGAACTTAAAATGTGAACACTTGAACTATTAAACAAATAAAATATATACAATTGAGACATTCAATTTTATTTTTTTTTTGAAAATTGAATGAAATATATTACTCGCTCCGTTCCTAATTGATTGTTTTACTTGCTTTTTGCACGAGTTTTAATACAACATAACAAATGTTATTAACTTTCCAATTTTATCCCTCAAAAGTAGATATTGTTTGTACAAAGTACAATTGTACTTACCTCTAGAAATTTGAAAAGTCAAAAGGATAAATTGGAAAATGTAGATTGATAGTTATGTTCAATTTTAGAAAGATAGACACTATTTTGGAACAAACTAAAAAGGAAAGTAAGACAGGTAAAGTGGGACAAATGGAGTAATATTCAAAATTCTGGTTACATTAAGTATCAAATGCAGTGTGGGTACAAGTCTCTGAATGGTCCTCTGATTCTTCAATTGAATGCCTTAAACACTCCACCACTGAAGGGCCTTCGGAATTCAAATGGCTTGATCTTCAAAGAAGGGCTTGTATATATAGCTTGTTCTTCTTGAAGGGCCTTCGCGTTCAAACGACTTGATCTTCAATGGAAGTTATGCTCTTCAATGGTAGGAGAAAGTGAAACTTTGGGAGAAGAGGAGAAAGTGAAACTCTTACATATCATATCGTGTAAACAATATGATTAGATTATTATACTAGGATAAATTAGAAAAAGATCTTAATTACACATATTTTGATTGTTTAATGTTTTATTTTAAGTATAGTGTTTTTTTTTTTGAATGCCACTGACTCTACTACAATGTAACACCTCCACTGAGGCTCAAAATTACAACCTCCCATATGGGAGTACAACCTGAGTGCCATTAGACCACAAGGTCTTGGCATAAGTACAGTGATTTAATTCCATAAAAATAATAAATTCAGTGACTTATTTAATTTTTTTTTTTAAAAAATAAAAATATGTCATAGCATTGGAGGGTAAAAAGTAGGGGTGTAAACGAGTCGAGCCGAACTCGAACCAATCCAGGATTGAGCTCGATCGAGCTCAACAATTTAGAGCTCGATTAAGCTCAACAATTTATGCTCGAGCTCGAGCTCGACAATTTTCGAACAGCTCAATTATTCGAGCTCGATTTTGACATCAAATTTGACCTAATTGATTTTAAATTCATGTTTCAATTAAAAATAAAAAGGTATATATTGCCGTATCTTGTCTCCGTGTCATCGTCGTCGACAGTCTTCCAGACTACAGAGTTAGGGCTTGGGGGAATGAGGGAGGGACTGCGGGAGTACTGGAGTAGAGTAAGGGAGTAAAATTTTAATTATTATTATTATTATAAGGCTTGCGGGCGGCTCGTCGAACCACGAGCATAGGATATGTGAGCTCGACTCGAGCTCGATAAGTAAACGAGCTACTCGAGTTCGGCTCGAGCTCGATTTTGACCGAGCTCGATCTGCTCGCAAGCGACTCGGCTCATTTACACCCCTAGTAAAAAGTAAGATAAATGTCACCGTGATTTACATTCTCTCACATGCTCTGTCGGGTCGGAGTGTGGGACCATTAGAGTTGTGGATTCAACCTTTTGGGGTAAGAAAAATGTAAAACTCCCATAATATTAGTTTAATGGATGAAAAATCTCATTTAAAATTTATTTCGATGACACAGTAAATATTATCTTGTGAAAATTTATAAAATCTAGATATAGTTGGACAAAGCTAAGAAACCAGGTAGTAAAAAAAGCCTAAAAAGCGGGATTACTTATAAATGATGAGCTGTGCAGCGGTGCCTTGAGCGGTTACGTTCCCGCTTATGTCGCTGCGAATATGATCATCGCCAGAAAAAAAATCCTACACCGTTATTTTCTGCTCTGCTCATTGGTTTCTTGCTCAGAAAGAACCCTAGCTTTCGCTACTGAACGCTCGTACTCTTCGCCATGGTCCAACTTGTTTCGACCTCCTCGAATCATATTCGGTATTTGCTTCAGAACTTAAACCATTCCAACTCCGACTCTGTATTGCAAGAGCTCCTCCAGGTAGTATGAACCCGCCGTACTTCACATCTTTACTACACGCATTTCATCTATATTTATGCATGCTTATATTGCTGTATTGCTTGCGATCGTTCTGTCCGGTTGTTCTGTAGTAGCTGAATCGGTGAGTTTACTTGTTGCATTTGAAAGAAATGCAGTTATGGTGCTGGGATGGAGTCCTGTTGAGTGGTTAAGAAGCGTATCGTTCCAGCTTGAGAGTGTTGATTGATTCGTTTTTACTCTAACAGTGGACTATTTCTATGTAATTCCATTTCTATTTGGAATTAAAAAATGGAGTGGAGTAGTAAAGTTAGACGCAGTGGGTTTAGCTGAATCAGAGACTTAGTTTGCTTTATTTTCCCTTTTACGCCAATGAATTGAAGCAAACAGAAATGTAAATTAGGTTCTTCTGAAGTTGCCATTTGTTTTGTTTCTTCACCTTCATGGCACATATGCAGAATTTTTTTATATCATCACTCTAAAACGCCATAGAATACTATACAATGCATGGATCTTATGAATTGAGCTTTTTTTTTTTTTGCCTTCACTTATAGTCTTGACACCTTTCCTTGAGTTTCTTGTAAGGTGAACCATTTCTTCCGTGTTGTATAGTATTTTTGTTCTCATAATAAGCTACATATCTTCAGGTTTCCTGCACCAAACTAAATTAAATTCATCTAAAGAATTAATGCAGAACTGTGGAATTTAACTGTTATATCAATTTGGGACCATAAAAAAATAATTAGTGACATTTATTTTAAAATTTGCAAAACTTTTGTTTAAATATAGAGATATTTACAATTTGTTATTCATGTTTTAAATGAATTGCTTACCATATATAATGCTGTATAACTGCAGTGTGCTGCATATGGAACTGAGGGGAGCGTATTGGTGCTTGGAATCTGCTTTGATCACCTGAATATCTATGGGAAAGACTTGAAGAATTTACAGTTGGAACCAGTTTTTGCTTCAATTTTTAAATACTTGTTGGATAAACCTAATTTTAGCACAGTTTTCTTCAAGTCAGTCAGAGGTGATGCTATTTGTGTGGAGTTTCTGGAGAACCTGTGTACTGCATTACAGTTGACAGTATATGAGAAAATTGGCATTGGTCATGCTTTGTCATATGTAGAAGACGTTGATATCAAAATGTGTGGTATGCAACTACCAACTTCAGAAGTGATGGAAGTTCTGCTAAGATAATATTTTCCTTTAACTCTTAAGTTTAAAATGCCAGATAAACTTTGTTATGTTGTATATTTTAGTTAGGCATTTCTTTTCTTGTTGCTGACTTGCTATTTTTTGCAGGGAAAAAATTCTTCATCATTCAGCTTGGGGAATTATTGTCAACTCGCATGTCTGTGGACTCTGTGAAGATTGTTCAGAACATGCTTTTGAAGAGTGTGGATTTGGTTATGAACATGCTGTCTCCTTTTCTATCAAAAGATGGAGCTTCACTTCTTTCAGATAAAATTCATGAAGCTGACTTTTCATGGTTGTTCATTGCAGAAATTTCCAAACTGTCACATTTAAATTATGTTTTTTTTTTTTTTTGTTTTTTGTTCACTCTTGTTTATTATTGCTGCAGCATGAATTTTGATCTTTTAAATGAAGGCAGTGAAGATGATTTTGATGCTCTTCTAGCAGAGATGGAGAAGGAGATGAGCATGGCTGATATAATGAAGGAATTGGGTTATGGATCCACTGCGAGTGTCTTGCAATGCAAGGAAATTTTATCTCTTTTCCTGCCACTGACAGAAATTACCATTGCAAGGATACTTGGAATGACTGTTTATACATACTCAGGCCTCGAGGACAATCACAATATATTCTTGTCATTTCAAACTGCTCTTGGAAGTAGCAGTCTATCTGATCTACCACCACTAAGTTCTTGGAATACTGATGCCCTCATTGATGCTATCAACCAGCTAGTTGAGTTCCCTTCTGTTATATCTTTATTGTCACTGTTGCATTTGTAGCAATTGTAGGCTGTATGTCCCTTTCTGCTACCTCTAACTGATAGTTCACAGGCTCCTGGACTAAATTGGGGAATCATCATAGGAAATCTAGATCATGAGGGCTTTTATGTTCCTAATGAAGCATCTTTCTCTGTTCTCATGTCTATGTATAGACGTGCTTGTCAGGTATGTTTTTCTTACAGATGTTCATTTTGGGATGTGAACAATTTCTTATAGGAATAAATATGCTTGCTTCATGTGCTAACAATTACTTTTGAAACATATTGCGTGACATAATTTACATTTCCGGCATGGTAGGATCCTTTCCCTCTACACGCCATTTGTGGCTCTGTCTGGAAAAATGCTGAGGGCCAGCTTTCATTTCTTAGATATGCTGTTTTGGCGCCACCAGAATTGTTTACTTTTGCTCATTCTGGGAGGCAACTGGTATACTGCTTCTGGAGGGTTTTATTTTTATTTTATTAATATAAATAAATATAATTAATGGTCTCGTCCTCTTTGATTGATCTGAAATGCCATTGTTTACTTGCAGGCATATGTTGATGCTGTGAAAGATCATAAGCTTCAACCTGGACGTGCAAATCATGCTTGGTTGTGTCTTGATCTTTTGGAAGTGTTCTGCCAATTGGCTGAGAGTGGTCATGCAAGCCTTATTCGATGTATTCTTGAGTACCCCCTTAAACACTGCCCTGAAGTCCTGCTTCTTGGCTTGGCCCACATCAATGTACATCATAATGTTACATGGCTAGTAATTTTATTTTATTATTTTATTGATCAATATTGATAAACAATGCTTTTTAAATCAAATGCAGACGGCATATAATCTCCTTCAGCATGAAATCTCTTCTATTGTTTTCCCTACAATGCTAAAAAGTACACTAGGGACACGCGTGATTCTTTATTTGTGGAATGTTAATCCAAGCATTTTGTTGAGGGGGGTTATGGATGCCATGGAGGATGATCCCAACAACATTAATAAAGTTTTGGATTCCTGCCAAGAACTGAAGGTTTGACTTTTCAAATTTTGTTATGTTTATATGCTTGTACTGCTAAAATAATAAAATCAATAAACTAAGACACTTTACAGTATTGACACATTGCTCTTAAATATAAATTGAAGACATCTACTCTACTTCTCCTTTCAGCTCCTCTTTCTTACCCTCCCGCTAACTTCTTGAAAGGGAGAATAAAATACTGTGTAACCTATTTTTTTCTTGTTACAGATTCTTTCACCAGTGCTGAATATGATTCCTTATTCTTTTGGTATTAGACTTGCTGCCCTTGCTTCTCACAAAGAATTCATTGATCTTGGGAAATGGTTGAGTACCAACTTAAAAACATATAAAGATAATTTCTATGAGGTAGCTTCTGTTGAACTGTCCTTAGTTTTCATGTCCTCTGGTTTCTGCATTTTTTTCTTTACAGAACCGGAATTCTTTGGCTGAAACTTTTCTTGCTACTTTCAGGAATGCCTTAAGTTCATAAAGGAGGTGCTTTTTAGTGTTCAAGATGATTCTACTAACCACTTTCCCCCACCTAATGCTCTTTTGAATAGTTATTTGGAAACTGTTTCAATGTTTATAAAGGTATTGGCTTTAGCAGATTGACTAATAATTAGTTTTCATATCCCCTTTCCAGCAGTACTCATCTAATTCACAAATCTTATCATGCCCAGGTCCTTCAATCATGTACAGGGTCAGTTTCATCCTTTCACTTGTCTGAGGAATTGGAGAAGCTGAACCTGACTTGCATGAATTCTAACTCAAGCCTTGAGAATATTTCTGCTGATTCCAATGATATTGAAGCATCAGCAAATTCTTATTTCAAGCTACTGTTTACTCAGCAGCTGACAATTGAGTCAATGATTCAAATTCTTGGACGTTTCAAAGAATCTTCTGAAAAAAGGTCAGCCTTTCTTTTTATGCTTTTGGAAACTTTCCTTCCTCTTTTTGGCTTTTTATAACATATAATTACCACTGGTGTTGCACAATAAGGTGTTGCGGAGTATCTATAACATTTAATTACCCTTGGTGTTGCACAATAAGGTGTTATGGAGTATTTGCACAGATAATTCAGACAACTGATGAATAGTGTACATCTCATTTCTTCTTTTTTTTTTTTTTTTTTTTTTTATTATTATTTTTTTTTTTATTTTCTATTTTTATTGTCTGTTCATGGTGTTATGCCTCTGTGTCTTTGTATTTTCTTTCTTTCTGCAAAAGTTTTTAAAAAATCTGATTCCTCTCCTGTTTTTGGAATTTGAGAAATTACTATTCTTTTGAACCTGCATTTTTGTGTGGTACTAATGCTCTTACCTTTGACAAGGGATTTAATTATGTTGATTGTTAGTTTGCTGCTTTTGCATATCTGAATGTCATTACAATGAAATACACATCTGGAACTTGCATGTCAAAACAAATTCTTACTTGGAGCAGTGTCTAGTTAACTGCTTATTGACCCTGATGATGTCTCATGGTGTTATATAGGGGAAGAAAGTTGCTTTGAATGTGACATACACTATTAGTTCTTTTTGGGTTATTTGATCTGAAGTGGCTACTGCTTAGTTATTTGGACTTCAACTTGCAGGGAAAAGTCAATATTTGGGGTTATGATTGCAAATCTTTTTGAGGAATATAAATTTTTTCCCAAGTATCCAGAGAATCAGTTGAAAACAGCTGCAATTATCTTTGGTAATCATTTCCTTCTTTCCTTATGTTTCATAACAGTTAGGAAGGTCTAGGTCTAAAGTCTATGTATTTATTATTTCATTCTCATTCTAATTTTTAAAAAATTCATTAAGGTCCCAAATGTTGGTTTGGTGTCAGTCTGTTAGGAAAGTAGTAAAAAGAACTAAGTGAAATGGTAAGCAACATCACTTACAAATTCTACTTGATTTTCCATGAGGTAACTTTCTATTGAGAAAAGGGGACGTGTGGATGATAAACATGCTTCATACATGGGCAAACTATGGCTTGTTCTAATCACTTGTTGTTGTTGTTGTTATTATTATTCTTGGTTGCTTTACAGAACCGATGGTGGTTTATATATCTTGAGTTATAAACATTAATAATTAATTCATTAAATCTCATGAGGTTTTTTTTCCTTGATCCCTTTTCCTTTTTTGTTCATCTATGCATTATTCTTGCACTTTTATCACAAGTAAATATTGTTAAAAATGGTGAGCTGATAGGTTTTATTATTCTGTCATTACACCTTGTTCTTCACTAAATTATTTTCCACAAATCAAACAAATAATTTGTTCAAGTACCCTGCTGTCATGCTGTGCCACCATTAAACCAAAAATAAATAAAAATATTGTGCTGACTTAATGTTTAAAAATTACTTTTCCAGGATCCCTTATCAAGCATCATCTTGTGACTCATATTAATCTTAAAATTACTCTGAAAGCTGTCTTGGATGCTTTACAAGAACCTGCAGATACAATTGTACACTTTACCCCAACCTTCCTTTCTTATTGAGACAATTTAAATGCTTGTTCAAACTTGGTTTTGATGATGGTATTTCTTCTTGCAGATGTTTGGGTTTGGAACTCTTGCTCTGGAACAGTTTGAGGACTGTTTGATCGAGTTGCCAGAATTCTGCCATCACATATCACAAATATCTCATCTCCGTGTAGCTAAGCCAGAGCTTATTCAATTCATTGAACATGAACTTGCAAGGGTTTCCATGGTGAATTCTGAATTGGATGAAGGCAAAAATTATATTCCTACTCAATTTCCCGGGTCCATCCAGTCTTCACAATCAAGCATTGAGGTAACTAATGTGTCATTTAATTTACCCATCTTTCCTAGATATTTTCTAAATACATGAAACAGTAGTCTTCTATAAGAATGTCATGACTTGTGATGACCCCAAAATCTCATTGCCATGTGAATATCTTATACAAAATTTAGTGCAAGACTCATTCAATATTATGGGTCTATTAGTGGGATGTCATGCATGATGACATAATATTTGTTTGGTGCTGTCACACCCTCATTTGCTGTATTCCTTACTGGAAGTAATGCCGTTTACTTTGATCAAGTTTATGACATTCATGGGGTGTTGATAAATCTTATTTAAAAATTGGGATGGCAAAATATTAAATTGTCAACTAAAGATCTCTTCTGTTTCTATAACTAATTTTCCGTCATGATTTCATGGTCATTCTCATCTTGACACTTTGTGGTGGTCAGTAATGGCTAATGTATCTTTACTGTTTGCTGGCACACCTCATTTTGTAATTGACCAACTGTACTCAAAGGCTTTACGCTTTCAACTTAATATAAATCCTGCTTAATATTTTTCCCCTTTCAGTGATTTTGTATCATCATTAGTATTGTCAGTGGGTAATGCAATAAGATGCTTGTGTTCCTTTCATGTTAATAAGAAGCAACTGGCCAACAAGAAAGAATGAACTGGTTATGAGAAGGAAGGTTTATTTGTTGAGATGGATGAGGAAGAAGAGTTGTCTTTCCCACTGCATAAGGTCCACTGGATACAAAATAGGAAAGACATGTTTTCTATTTTGTATTGGGTGATCCTCTGTGTTCTAGGCTACGGTTGTTAGCACTTACCGTAAATAGGAAAGACATCGTTTTAGACCAGGAATACTAAGTTATCCTTACATACTCTTGAATTCTTGTCTCTCATTTTGTAATTGACCAATTTTACTCAAAAGCTATGCCATATCTGCACCTACAAGTTAATACAAATCCTACTTAATGTTTTCTCTTCAAGTTAATTTCATATCATCACCATGCTTGAGTCTGTATGCCTATATGCAATTTTTTAGGAAGGAAAATAAAATTCTTACTATATTTTTACTTGTTATAATTGCTAAAAATCCAACAAAAACAATTTGAATTTTGCATAAATAGAATGGCAGATCAATTTTTATCTTAGGCCATATCTGTTACTGTTTGCATGAATGAAAGCTTTCTTTAAAACTTCGGCTGCAGGGCTCTACACTTCCTTTAACTGCATGTGGAATCTCATATCCGGAAATGCAAGTGACCTCCCACATTCAGCTTCCTCAGAGAGAGCAGAGTACTTTAGACACAAGGAAATTGTTAACTCTTCATTGCCAAGCGAACCAAGCCTTATCCTCCATAGATCAAGCTGTTATTGTCCCTTCAAGTGATGCTACTTGTATTCCAGAGGTCTGTGGTTTAGCTATATGATGATGTGGTTTTTTGGTTTACATATTAGTTCATTGGAGTTGTGATTTTGTCCTTGTTAAAATGCTCAGCTACATAGTACACTCAGTTCTTCAGCAGCAAAAACTTCCTCCCTTGGCATTGGTCATCCTGCTTGGGCAAACTCAACAAGTATGGCATGACTATTTTACTGTCACTACTAGTTTACATGCAATCTATTTTTTAATGTGGCCTTGTTAATTCATTACTGAAATATAGTGTTTGGCTAATGGTCTTGAATCAAATTCTTTGTTAAAGGAGGGTTTGGTGCTGCTTTAAATATTAAAACACTAGTTGCTGCTGCAGAGAGAAGACAAACACCTATAGAGGTCACTACTTGTTTATGAATTTCACTTTGGTTTATTATTACGAAGTACATGAATATATTGCATTTTCTAAATTGTGATTTGTCCAAACATTCTTTTTCAATTTTCTTATATACTGGCCAAACTATTATTTGTATTCATTATTCTCTTCACAGGCTCCAGCATCAGAGGTCCAGGATAAAATATCATTTATCATGAATAACCTATCAGATGAAAATATTGAAGTTAAAGCAAAAGAGATTGTGGAACTTTTAAAAGAGGAGCACTACCCCTGGTTTGCTCAGTATATTGTGATGAGAAGGTTAAGAGGTCCCCAATTGGTTTAATTCTTTTCTGTATAATGTAATGTGATACTGTATAATATTAATCACAGTTTTACCAATTTGAAAGAGTCTCATTTGAATCTTACTTTGTTTGATTGTCTGTTCAAAATTATAATGGTCCCTGCTGGCATTTTATTGACAGAGCAAGCATTGAACCAAATTATCATGCATTATATGTGAAGCTCCTAGATAAAGTAAATTTGAAGGCATTATTCAAGGAGGTTGTCCGAGCAACCTATGAAAATTGCAAGGTTTCCATTCCACAGCTTTGCATGGTTTATCTATTACAAACTCTAAACATTTTGCGGTGAAATATTTGGCTTTTCTTTTCAGGTTCTGTTACAATCAGGTCTTATAAAGTCAAGTTCAGAAGAGCGTTCATTGCTGAAAAATTTGGGAAGCTGGCTAGGAAAGATTACCATTGGCAGGGATCATGTTTTACTGGCTCGTGAGATTGATCCTAAGTCTTTGATTATAGAGGTCATTCTCCTATGATTATAGCTCTTGAAGTCTTTGTTACCTTTGCTTTTTGGTTGCTTCTTCATTCTGGAGGGTTACTAGGTATTTGTTAATAAGTCGTGTGCATTTTGCAGGCTTATGAAAAAGGGTTGATGATTGCAGTTATTCCCTTCACCTCGAAGGTTTCTGCATTTTACTTGCTGATGTTTGCTATTTATCATGTGTTTTATGATATTTATGTCTATGTTGCATTCTGCAGATATTGGAATCATGTCAAAACAGTCTAGCATACCAACCTCCTAATGCATGGACCATGGCCATTCTTGGACTACTTGTTGAGATTCATGCATTGCCAAATTTAAAAATGAACCTCAGATTTGATATTGAGGCATGTAGATGTCTGTCTAGCATTTTTGTTTTTCTGATGTAGCATACTCTACAATGTCTACTTAAGTGTTTGATACCTGTGTTTCTCTTCATTTCCTTGTCTTTTCAGGTGCTGTTCAAGAACCTTGGTGTGGATTTGAAGGACATAAATCCAACTTCTCTTCTGAAAGACCGGGTTAGGGAATTTGAAGGAAATCCAGATTTCTCAAACAAGGATGCTGGATCTTCTCAACCACAGTTTTTTGGTGATATCAAATTGGGAATTGTGTCCAATCTGAATGAGGGTGAACTATCAGTTGATGTTGCAAGTACATCACATCCTGGTCATCATTCACATATAGTACCTCAGGTATATGTTTTTGTTTATTGTAAAAAAAAAAAAAAAGAAACTCAGTTGGATTTAGCTATTGCCATTAGTACCACGACTTAGCATATGGTGGATCCCTATCCAGTATGCTGCTTCTCTCCATCTTCCATCTAGGACATTGACAGATGAAGGGAAGTTAACAGCTCTAGTATCTGATCAGCATATACTACCTTCTGCTCAAGGTCTTCTACAAGTGGAAACACCACTTTCTGTTGTTAGCCAGGTATTTAGGCAATTTAGTCAGTAATTTCTGTATTACTTGTTTGGTAATATTGTATATAACATCAATGAACATTAATTTCACTGCAGCTTCCAATAGCTGCATCTAATATTGAGGAGCAAGTTATTATCAATCCAAAACTCCATGATTTTGGTCTGCACTCACATTTTCAAAGGTTCAAGGCTCCTATGCTTACTGATTTCTCTTATAATAGTGCTTTTTACTAACTGTATGTATTTATTATTTGTGCCTAAAGTGTACTTCCCATTGCCATGGAAAAAACAATCAAGGACATAGTCATGAGCATTACTATGCAGCGCAGTGTTTTTACTGCCACTCAAACAACAAAGGAACTTGTGTTGAAGGTCTTGTAATTATAAACCTATCACTTTTGTAATTATAAAGCTTCCACCTCCCCCAAACAAAAGCATGTATAGTTTCTCCTTTAGTAACACTACAAGCTTTCCCTCTTTCCAATATAAAAATAATGCACTTTCAGGACTATTCCATGGAATCTGATGAGACCCAGATACGTAACGTATCACATTTTATGGTTGCCAGTTTAGCCGGAAGTCTAATTCATGTGCATTTCAAGGTAGAGACAGACTTTGGGATATTATGCTGTCTAACAGGTTCTATCCGTAATTTGATATTTGTTAACCACATGAATTCTTTTCCCATCACTATCAGGAACCTTTATTTGTTTCCATATCAAGTCAACTTAGAAATACACTTGAGGGAATAGACATTGCAAATGAGTTCCTTGAACATGCTGTACAACTTGTGACTAATGACAATCTTGAGCTTGGCTGTGCATTGATTGAACAAACTGCAATAAAGAAGGTTTGTTTTCTAATACAGTTTCCTGTATATGATGTCATGTATGAGTCTTATGTTCTCCCCTATGATCAATCTGTAAAATTCTACTTTAATATTTTTTCTGATATAAGTTCTGTAATTAGGTGTTACAATCTGTCTACACATGATAATGCATGTATAAAAGTAAAAGACTACTCAAAAATTTTGTTGTATAAGTCACACATCATTATTTCATTGGTTTGTCTCACATTATTCATGCCCATGACACTAGATTCCCTCTTTACTAGCTGTATCTGGGCTCCCAGGATTTTTTTGCCATATAAGGAATGATCTAAAATATAATTTGTTATGCTTTTTGCAGGCTATACAAACTATTGATGAAGCCATTAATATTGAGCTTGCCAGTATGACACATAGGGAGGGGCACAAACACATTGATTCATATATCTGTACAGAACAGTGCAAGGGAGTTTTACCTGAAGCCCTTCGCATTAAATCTGGTCACTTATCCTACTCTCAACAGCGAGTTTATGAGGTACATGCCACAATTGTCTTAACTTCAAAGTATGATTTCAATGATTGATTAGCTGTAAATTTTATTCAACTTATTTCCAGGATTTTGTTCGCTTACCTTGGAAAAATCAATCAATCCAGAGCTCAAATGCTTTGTCCCTAGGTCCTGCCTCATCAAATAACAGGATTCTGTCCGAGGCTTATGTAGCAGGATCTGCACAAATGAGCACTGCTGCTATTTACTCTTCTGGCCTTTTTAAGGCAGGAACTGCTGCTGTTCTAAATTACTTGGATATTGCATCAGAAGAGATAGATACTAGTTCATCTCAGCTTCATAGGTTAGTCTGCTTATATTTGATTTAGAAGATTTTTATTTGATGGTTGTTATCCCAAAAGTAATTTTTTTTTTTTTCTAATTTCCTTTTTGTGTTTATATTTTAGTGCCTCTTTACCTCCAATTGGGATGGGTGATGGTGCTAGTTCTTACAATTTTGAAAATGACAGTATAGTGACTCCATTTTCTTCAGTCTTATTGCGGCCAATCAAGCCATGTAATGTTGTAAAGGTGTGTTAGGTTATTATTATTATTATTATTTTTGCGCTGCTCAGGTGTATGTGTGTGTGTGTGTGTGTGTTATGAGTTCTTATATGTAAACTATAGTTATTTCTTGCAGGGGACAGGGTGTTCCATACAGCCACAAAATCCTACACTATCCTCTGAGGATCTTCAAAGTAGTGTTTCAGAGCCATCATTGACCACAGGCGATGCACTGGACAAGTACCGGATTATTTTGGAGAAGGTTCAGTAAGCTTTCTACTATTTTCTTTTCTTACATGTGTTTCCTGTAACACTGCACATGCACAAACTTGGTATACTTTAAAGAAAAGCAAGAACAGTAAAATTGCTTTTACCTTTTCTCTTTTATTTAATTTGATCATTTCTAATATATTTCAGCTTGAAAATCTGGTGAGTTGTGGAGTTAAGGAAACAGAAATTCAGGTATCCTTTTTCTGCCTCTTTGATGGATTAATGAATAATAAACTAGGATGTTGCTATTTGTTATAATCATTCACTCTGCTTTTTTATTTTTAAAATTTGGTGCTGAATTCTCTTCTTAGAACCTATTGAGTTTCTGATGTCTTATAATGTATTGTTTATAGGGTGCTATTGCTGAAGTTCCAGCAATAATCCTCAGATGTAAAAGTCAAGATGAGGCAGCCTTGGCTGTGGCTCGAAAGGTGTGTTATTCTCCTTACAAGGAAAGAAATTGATTTTGTGATACTAGTATTCTGAGTTTTGTTTGCTAATCTAGGTTTTCAAAGGATTATATGAAAATGCATCAAACATTGGACATGTTAGTGTTCATCTTGCTATGCTGTGTTCTATCTGTGACATCAGCAAGGTTGTTGTTAAGGAGCTGACTAGTTGGGTATGTTGCAGTTACAGAAATTTTGATTGTTTATTGTGTTTAATCCAATAGGTTGATAAATTTGATATTTTGTACTATATCCTTATACCTTCATACCTTCAAGTTGTTTTTGTGCCTCTATTTTTATTTTTACTCTTTCCCATCCATTCCTTAAAGCTCTTTAGTCATTTATGTATTAATCCTGAGAGATACGGGTATGGATTTTGCAGGAAGGTCTATTGCTCTATGAGTATTGTTAGAGTATAGCCCTGAATCATTGTAAACTAGTAGACTCCTAAATCTTTTTGCAGGTGATTTACTCTGATGAGGAGCAGAAGTTCAACAAAGACATAACTGTTCATCTTATACAGAGTGAACTACTGAGCCTTGCAGAGTATAATATTCATATGGCGGAACTTATTAATGCTGAAAGAAATAGTATGTATTGGAAAGTTTGATTTTTATTGGTTGCAATTAACATTACTGATTATTTGTTTGTGATATGCAGAGTCTGCAACTGTGTTTTCGATTTCTCTTATACAAACATTGCTGAAGATTGATTCAAAAGCTGTATTGGAGCTGCAAGATCTTGTGGATGCATTGGGAAAGGTATGTTTTTACCTCTTATCTTCTCTGTTATAACATTGTTTTTTTCCCTAGTCTTCAGTGTATTGTGTTTTGAATTTCTTACTTCTTCAGCTTGCTGCAAGACCTGGTTCTCACGAGTCATTGAAACAGCTAGTTGAGATAGCCAAGAATCCTTCTGCTAATGTTATGGCTTCGTCTGGTGCTTCTTGCTGGAAGGAGGATAATTTCAAACAATCTAAGGAAAAAAAGGTTTTTGAAACAACTATTTCTACCTTTGCTTAGCTTTTTTAAGTTGTCTAATATTTATGCTGGGACAGGCTGCTATGCTCCCTCCAAGCGGTGGAGATAAGAGCTCATTTGAATGTGTTGAGCCAGGCCCTGCTGGATTCCATGAACAGGTATTTTTTTAATGAGCCAGGAATCTCTCCAGCATATAGTGAATTAGACAAGACTTTCATCAGTATTCCTCCACGTGCATCTGTTTCCTTGCGTTTTCTTCTGAGGTTGACATGATATTTACATTTTGCATCCGTTTCACATAGTACTTATGTGTGCATGTTACATTAAATATTTTTGTCTTGAAGAACTTTCTGGTTTCTACTTGTTAGAATTCCATGCTTGAATGTGAGTTCTGTTTTCCATTTGAGAGGAATTATATGCCCTCATTTTTCTGTACTGGTAAAGATGTAGTCATCTGATCAACAGTGGACAGTTGTGGCATTTTATGCCAAATTGCCAATATGCTTGTCTTTTTCCCTTCATAGGCTTGCCTTCTGATGGTATTTTATAGTTTTGGTGTACTCCATACAAAATTTTTCTTTAAGCTACTGATTTCAACTGTCTAATTTGACTTTGCTACAAGTAGGGGGGAAAAAAAAAAAAGGCAGGTCATAGTTTATGCATTTTGGTGCTTTGTTATGCGCAAATTATGCCATGGAATCGTGTTCACCGAGAATGGTGAACACAAGGCAAAACGACGTCGTTTTTAGACAAAAAAAAAAAAATCGCGGATGTGGAGTTAACGGCGCGCGTTTGATCAAATTATGAATTTTCTGTTATGAGATTATGAATTTTATGAAAATTCATAATCTCATAACAGAAAATTCATAATCTCATAACAGAAAATTCATAATCGCATAACAGAAAATTCATAATCTCACAACTGAAAATTCATAATCTCATAACAGAAAATTCATAATCTTATAACAGAAAATTCATAATCTCATGGTTCCAAAGTGAATGTGCAGGCATGGATTCATAATTTATGAATGTCCGTGATTTCGGACGGGAATATGTAGGCATGGTTCCAAAGTGAATGTGCAGGCATGAATTCATAATTTATGAATGTCCGAAATTATGAATGTAATGAAAATTCATAATCTCATAACAGAAAATTCATAATCTCATAACAGAAAATTCATAATCGCATAACAGAAAATTTATAATCTCATAACTGAAAATTCATAATCTCATAACAGAAAATTCATAATCTTATAACAGAAAATTCATAATCTCATGGTTCCAAAGTGAATGTGTAGGCATGGTTCCAAAGTGAATGTGCAGGCATGGATTCATAATTTATGAATGTCCGTGATTTCGGACAGGAATGTGTAGGCATGGTTCCAAAGTGAATGTGCAGGCATGAATTCATAATTTATGAATGTTCGAAATCTTTGTTCACCTCAAATTAAAGTGAAACCGCAAAATGTGAAAATAAAGAAGAAAAGTCACACAATTAATTAAGAAAAAAAAAAAAAAAAAAAGATAACGGTGTACTAACACCGTTGGAACCGTGTTCACCATGAATGGTGAACACGGTTCCATGGCATAACGTCTGTTTGTTATGTTTTCGGGTGAAAGCACGCGTCAAAGGGCGATTAGGGTTATTGGGGATGTCTATGTTGAGAGATAAATTTAAGGAACAAAGATAATAGGAACGTTTTGAGAGTTTTCCCACCTCTTGACTTTAACTTAACTTCTTTCTTCCTTGTTATTTTATTAGAATGAAAATCCCCTTTATATAAGAGGGTTACAAAGACTAGTAAAACATAAAAAGGAAAGGAAGACTAACTAAAACATAAAAAGGAAAGGAGAATCATTAAAGCTCCTTACCATAATTATTTCCTATCTCTATAGGAAATAAATCAATTCTAATAGTAAGGATAATAAATCAATTCTAATAATAAAGATATTTCCTTAATCATATCATGCTTTGATGCAAAAAATAAATAAAATAAAGTAATTCCATATCCACTTCTAATGCCACAAATTATTTCCTAAATGATCCTCTATTGCATCTGTCAAAAAAAAAAAAAATTAATCTTTATATTGTTATTTGTTATTTTGGTTAAAAGAAGGGATGGAGGAGGGCAAAGACAAGAATGATTATGTTATACATGCCAAAAAGTGCTGTGAACAAAAATACAACGTGGTGCAAATCATTTTTCATTCTGTTATACTTTTTTCTGTTGCTACTGAGCTGCTGTCATCTTTTAAACCAGAAAATGCTTCTTCTATGAGGATGTATGGAACAATTTCCTTAGCATAAAACATCTAATTGCATACTTTACACTCATTGATAACTTGGCTGAGCACTATGTTCATGTATAAAGATGATGTGTGGGTTCATTAATAGATAATGCCCTGTATTTTATAAAACTGCCTATCTTGCCCTAACCCTGTTAATGAAAAATGTAAGGATGGAAAGGAAACCCATTATATGTGGGTGCAAATAACTCAATAATGCTATGATTATCCCTTCAGGCAAAACAACTTTTACTTTATCTTGGGATGCTTCCTTTTTTTTCTTTTTTTTTTTTTTCTGACCAATTTTAAGGAAAAATGGTTAGTACTGGTGATTGAAGTCAAATAGTTATGAAACCAGAGATTTTGAAAAGTGAACTACTGATTTGTTGTACTCATAAATCTTATGCACCAGAAAGTTGAAACTGTGGACCACAAACAGGCGCATATATGATATATTATAAACTTACCATATGGTCGTATTTATTTACAATAACCATTTTTAGTACTTTTTCGTTTAAAATTTTCCCCTTGATTCTTTGAACCATACAAAGGTGTTACTCTTGAGTCTAATGCATTATCTTGGTTTTCCCTCATAGGTCTCCATGCTGTTTGTTGAATGGTATCAGATATGTGGAAGTCCTGGAGCAAAGGATGCTGCTTCTGCTCTCTATGTTTCACGACTACACCGTAGTGGCCTATTAAAAGGGGATGATGTCTCAGATTGCTTTTTCCAGAAGCTCATGGTCACTCTCCCCTCATATTTGGATTTAATAATATAAGGCTGCCTTCTTTTTGTCAGTACGAAAATCAAAGTTTACGTGAACCAACAATGCTGTTAATTACAGGAAATTTCCGTGTTACACTGTTTATCATCTGAGGTGATAAGTTTGAGTCTTTCCCAAGCATCTGAAGCAAAAACTCTGTCATTCCTAGCTATTGATCTCTATGCCAAGTTGGTGTACTCAGTTGTGAAGGTTAGCATTGTTTTCCTAGCTAATTGGCTGACTTTTGGCATTGTTAGTGAATGTAGTTCTCTCTCTCTCTCTCATAACCTGTTCGTTTTTGTAGTGTTGATTCACTTTATTCCTTTTATAGTTTTATCCAGTTGATCAGGGAACAAGTAAAATTTCCCTATTGTCTAGGGTATGAATTCTATACCCTAGTTTTGTTAAGCACTTCAAGTTTCTCTTGTTTTGTCTTTATCTATGTAAATTTATTGGTTACCAAACGACAGGTCCTCGCAGTAACTGTGAAATTCATTCAGAGAGATTCAGATGAGAAGTCAGATTCCTTTGATCCAAGACCCTACTTTAGGCTTTTTATAAATTGGATAATTGATTTGTGTTCATCAGATCCCATATTTGATGGTGCAAACTTTCAGGTAGGCTTATTTCACGTGCACTTATTTGATGCTGTTGTTGATTCGTTGACCTTTTTCTTCATCTTTTTCAGATCTTGTCTGTGTTTGCAAGTGCCTTCCATGCTCTTCAACCACTTAAAGTGCCAGGGTTCAGGTTTTATTTAAATGCTTTTTTGTGTGTGTGTGTGTGTTTGTGTTTTTGGCCTGTGGCAGATATCCTAATGCTTTTACAATCCTGAACTTGAATTCTAAGTCACGTCTGTTTTGTATAGAAAAGGCACTTCTGTTTGTTCATTTTTATCCAAGGAGTAGTCTTCATATTTTCTTGCTTTGTTCTTTATTGTGCTTCTAAGGATAGAGGTTGAGTACAATACTATTTATATATTTTGGAACCATAAAATACAATTATCACAAATGTACCTGAATCTTTTAATATCTTTACTTTTTCAAATGTATTTATTGGTTGTGACTGGAAGATCAACATCATTTGATGGTTAATAACTTGATATATGTACTTGCCTTACCCTATTTGTGCTTCACTTAAGAAAGAAAAGCAATTCTTTCAGGATAGTTTTCATTCTCTAGATAGCTGTTCAATATACTTTAAATTAAATTAAATGCATTCTTCCAGTGGAAGGATTTTTGTTTGCATGTGCAACCATAGAGCATGATTGGCTGCTGGCATTTTTTTGCATTGCTAATTTGAGGGGTTGCTTTCAGCTTTGTGTGGCTTGAGCTTGTTACTCATAGATGTTTCATGCCAAAATTACTCACCGGAAATGCTCAGAACGAGTGGCCTTATTTCCATCGATTGTTGGTTGACTTGCTCCAGTTTATGGAGCCATTCCTTAGAAATGCTGGACTAGGAGAAGCACCGGTTTGTATAGTTGGATAGATGTTTTAAAGTGTTTTTCATGTTACGTTGTTGCCTTCTTTCCTTCAACTTATGCTAAATTCTATGCTAGGTCTGTCTTCTATATGAAGGGACACTCAGGGTGTTGTTAATTCTTCTTCATGACTTCCCAGAGTTCCTCTGTGACTATCACTTCAGCTTCTGTGACGTGATACCTCCGATCTGTGTACAGATGAGAAACATGGTTCTTAGTGCATGTCCTCGCAATATAAAGCTGCCTAATCTTTCAGTTCCCGACGTAAAGGTGATATACTCAACAGAAATACCTTACTACAATTTCCATAATATAATCTTGTCTGAGTTGAGTTGAGTTCTGAAGAAGCAACTCCTTTTGTTTGTCTTTAGATTGATCTACTACCTGAGATCAAACTATCCCCACGCATTCTGTCTGAGGTTGATGCTGCTCTTAAAGCAAGACAGCTTAAGAATGATGTGGATGAATACCTTAAGGTAAATCATAAAAACATTAATAATTTCTTTTCTTTTCAAGCTGGATGCAGGCAGGCAGTAGATAAGTAGCAATATTTGGAAAAAAAAAAAAAAAAAGGAATTTCATTGTTGTCTTGCATTGATTCTTCTTCTACAGACAAGACAACAGGGGTCTCTGTTTCTTAGGGAGTTGAAGCAAACACTCTTACTCTCTCCTAGTGAAGCTACCCGGGCTGGGACTCATTATAACGTGCCTCTTATCAACTCCCTTGTGCTCTATGTTGGGATCTTGGTACGTCTTAATTTCTACATACGATTCAAAAAAGAGATTTGTAGTGAGTGCACAATACCATTTTTCCTTCTGCCTGCTGGTGTCAATAATTTGGGTGTTTTCATTCATAGGCTGTACAACAGCTGCAGACAAGAACAGCAGCATCTAATAATAATTCACAAGTGCTGCTGGTGCTGGGAAATAGTGGTCCGAATCATTCAACATTAGTGAGTGCTGCTTTTGATATCTTCCAGACTTTAAGCATGGAGTTGGACAAGGAGGGGCGTTACGTGATGTTGAATGCAATTGCAAATCAATTGCGCTATCCAAACAACCACACACATTACTTCTCCTTAACCATTCTCTATCTTTTTGCAAACTCAAACCAGGTGCGATCCCTATGACTATGTTGTTAGTTGTTACATACATGATACATGTCCTGCTTGCTTAATTTATTATTAATTAATGATGTGTGTTGTGGTGGACATGCAGGAAATGATACAAGAACAGATAATAAGAGTGATATTAGAACGTCTTGTTGCCAAACCACCTCATCCATGGGGACTGGTGGCCACTTTCCTTGAGCTCACAATGGTAACGCACGCACGCTTCTGTTGTACATTATTTGTTTGATGATAAGAAGAAAATGAATTTTATTTTGTTTTGTTTTGTTTTGTTTAACAGAATAAGAATTACAACTTCTGGGAAAGGTCGTTCACCAGGTGTTCACCTGATATTGAGAACCTCCTGAGATCAGCACTATCATCCGTGCTAAGAATTACTACTGTTGCCTCATAATATCATCCCTCACATCTCCATTTTATCATCTTCACTTCACAATGACTGACTCAACTCCTTTTCAATGTGGATTTTGTTACTCCTCAATTTACAATACACACTTTCCCCCCTCAATATCTCAATTACTGTCACATTTTATAGTTCGAATTAATTCTTTTTTTTTTCTATAAATAATTTTTAAAATATTATAAAGAGAAAGGAAAAGAGTCAATTAGGTCCTTAAACTTTTAAATATTGCAATTATACCCTAAAATATATTATTTTAGAGCATTGAGACCCAAAAACCAGTTGATGACCTATAATTATAAGTCACTTGAGTTTCGGCGATCCTCTGACAAGGTTTTTACCATATTTCGAGCAAAAAAACACCGGTGAAACTGATTGATTGATTGGAGAATGTGACCAATCTAAGATCTTTGAGAGATTATTTTTATTACCAATATGTTACTTAATAAAGTGATTGATTTGATCTCTCTCAAAAGACCTGTTTGGTAAAATAGTTAGCCTACCAGTCAATTTTGACTTCTTTGACCACTATTAGTTATTTGGCTTGATTAAACAACCAATGTAAGTGTTTGGTTAATTAGCTTTTTGTAATAACTCATTGTTTCAAAAGGTTAAAATTCAAAAAGCTACTCAAAGCAACTATTTTGATTAGCTTTTTAAAAAAGTCAATTTGCATATACAATTAGCTAACAACTAATTTACCAAACATTTTTCACAAAGTCAATAACACAATCAACTAACAACTATCAACCAACCGCTATTTACTAAGGTTGTTTGGTAAAATAGTTAGCCTATTAGCCAATTTGACTAATTTGATCACTATTAATTGTTTGATTTGGTTAAAAAAAATCAATATAATTGTTTAGTTAATTAGCTTTTTGTAACTCCAAAATACTAAAATTTAAAAAGCTGCTCCAAAGACATTATACCAAACAGCTAACAGCTCAAACACAATCTGCTAATGTTATCAACTAGTTATATCCTCTAATTAACCTAATTAGCCAACAACTATCAACTAATAGCCATTTACCAAACAGGAAATCTATACTTACCTTTATAATAAAAGTTTCATTTATCGTTTAATTTAATTTAATTAAAAAAAAAAAAAAAAAAAAAAAAAAAAAAAAAAAAAAAAAAAAACTGAATTGTTATTAACTTGAAAAGTTAACTGAACTCAACAGAAAATTGGACATTTAGCAGTGGTTTAATACCCTCGTACTTGTATCCCATGAACCAACCAACCAACAGAGGATGAATGTCCAAAAATTCATGACAGAAATTCGTTACAGAACATGAGGTAACATGATTTTGAGTCCCAAAACAAATGTAGCACATCCCATTTAGCAGTGGTTCAATACCCTCAACACTACGTACTTGTATCCCATGAACCAACCAACCAACCAACAGAGGATGAATGTCTAAAAATTCATGACAGAATAGCAACACTAAGGTAACATGATTTTGAGTCCCAAAACAAATGTAGCTGTTGGAAGATGAAAAGTAGTCACTCTATAATAACATCAGATAAGATTGAATAGAAGCAAAAACAAAAAGCAGAGAGGGGAGGAGAAGGGCGTTTGTTGTTAAAAAAGCTGAGTATTTTCTAGGCTTCTCTACGGAAGTACAATTTACCCATGACATGAAGAATAGCAACAAATGCTATGAAGCCAATGCTCATGACAAGCACAACATTGGGAGAAATCTTCAATCCAGGAGCATCATCAGTGTAAAATTGGAGCATAGTACCACTGGCACCTCCTCCTCCAGCAGCACCACTCGCACCTCCTCCAGTCCTCCTGCGACGCATGTTGGCAGCTGCAGCTGCGGCAGTTCCTCTTTGTGGACCACCTCCCAACGCCATTTCTGCACCCACCCACCACCATTTCAACGCCATAAAAACTCATTTTCATCTACATTCATTCAAATATACCCCCCCATTGCACCTATATATATATATATACATATATCTACCTACCTACCTACCTACCATTGCAACCACATCTCACTGCAACTATCCTTCTCGTTCTCAAAGTGTATGTAAATTTTACAGTGCTAAAACAACTTTATCTGTCAGCAAACTGTTATGATCCCTTATTCAACCCATTCACTTTAGACTTATTCCTCTTTATCATAATTAATTAAAGAACTAACATCAGATCCCCAACTCTGAAAGGGCATCCTTTCTCTCTCAAGTCTCAAGATTCCAATGCCCCATCAGAGTTGTATGCAACTAACTCCCTCAGCATTCTTCAAACAAAATTCCATCACAAGCATACATAAACAAAAGATCGGAATTACTAAATTCCCACAAAATAAACTAATCTAGTATAAATCGCATTCACCAACTCACTTATCATTTGATGATTTCAATCCCACGGAAATGTAAAACAAAACAAATGAATCAACGAAAATGGTTGATTATAGATAAACCATCCCCTAATCAAAACCGAAGAAATAACGCAGGCAAACAGAATTACAAGCATGTATACTCATTCCGTATATTTACAAACATACATGAACGCATCGAGAAATTGAGAAACAGATACAAATTCAAGGATATAGAAGCAGCTTAGAGAAAGAGAAATCTGACCTTAAATCAAAAGAAATTCGATTAGATCTCTCGTCGAATTAGACTTCTTCTGATCCGATCGCTGGATTGAAAAATCAAAATCTTACACCGTCGTGAACCCTTAGTTTGACTCTTCTATTTGTACCCACGTAGTTGGCTTTAGACACATAGCATTAACCAACCATTTCTCGCCACGTATCTAGCGACCTGAGTCGGATCACCACATCGCCACTTTAAACCAAAATATCTACTACTACTACCAACTATGAAATAAATTTGATTTGCTTTTATTCTATTAATTAATAATTAATCCAAACTATTTACTCCGTATAATTTATTTTTTACAATTTTTACATATTTAAAAATCATATCAAATATAACATTTATAATTTAAAATGTCTTTTAAAAAATAAAATTAATAGGAATTACTTTTTCATTCAAATAATATGCAGAGTGGTTTAGTCACCTTCTCCGGTTCAGCAAGAATGATCAAAATGACAAAAGACAATAGCCAGATCCTTAATAGAGGACCAGATTTTGTATTTAACAAAATTTTAACAATTTTTTTGATAGAAGACCAAAATTGGTCATGTCACAATAATACTAGAACCAAAAAGAGATGTTCTGATAAAAAAAACTGGAAATAGATTGTCACCTATAAATCTAGGACTAATAATGGAATTAACTCCAAATGAAATGATAGACTCATAGACAAATGAAATTAATACCTATTAAAAATAAGGACTCACTTGAACATAACCCTATATATGTGTGTGTGTGTGTGAGAGAGAGATAAATGTATAATCCAACAATCCATTGAACTTAAAGAAGATTATGAGAACACAGAAAACATAAAGGCAAAGAAATAAAGGGAGAAATTGTATAACATGCATTCATTTATTCGTAGTTCCAGTATATGTATCCAACTAGTGTGTAAAATGATGTGGATGAATAGAAAATAGCTAGCTAAATAACTAGGATACATTAGCAGAGTTAACTCTTTGATTTGGTAATTGGTACAAAAGCTACCCAATATACAAATACTCATTAAAAATGTAATCACCTACCATCCATCCCTAAAACATCTTTTGTTGATTACCTAAGATTTTCATAGTACCATGCATACTCAGTAATTAAGATCAGATGCTCTGCAACAAATGCCAACTAGTCTCAATTCTGTCAGTGTATGCTCAAATAAAAACTGCTTTCATCAAGGTATGCATGAAAAATCTGTTTAGGATACTAGGATTATTGCTGTTTCTTTGCGTCCGGTCTTCAGTATTATTTCCACCGGAAAGATCTACCGCCTTTTTGTCTGATGCCGGTCCCTTCAAGACCCGATGAGAGCAGAGACTGAGAGTCAGGTCGCCACTTCAACTCTTTGAGAGTAGAAAATAGCATTGCTAGGGCTGGTGTTATTTCACTATCCTTTATGTTTTTACACGAGACTACTCTAAGCCGTTGAAGCTCCCGCCAAGATTCAATCACTGAATCCAATCCTTCAGTTGTGAGTAGTGAACATCCATGTAACGACAGGACTCTTAAACCCCTGCAATCGAAAATTAGACAGTGCTATGTCAAATCGCGGAAGTCAACTCAAAGACAAATGTTATCACAGCAAGGCATAACAATTTCGTATATTTCTTCAATGCATACGAAACTCACGAATTAATTGTTATTTTACCCACTAAAACAAAAGAAAAAGATTGAGTAGTAGCCCACAATCCACTTTACAATGATTGGATAAAGCTCAAAGGTAACCCACATAAGTTGCAGAAGTTACATTCAGTTAGAATTTAGGGTGACAGAAGCTAATCATATGACCCCAAAAGTTTAACTACATCAGAGGTTAAATGGTCTAATTCTTGCATAGTTGCATACTTGCATGACAGTTGTGTTGCAGGTTAGTAAAGATTAATCACTCTACAATGGGTCATTGGTTAGAGTTTTATGCATTGGCAAACCTTAGTGTTATTCATACTGCACATAAAGAATAAGTTACAGAATAGAGTGTCACTCGTACCGCAATATAGAGGCCGAGGCAAATGCATTGTTGTCTAATCCCCAACAATCCTCAATTACAAGCTCTCGGGCAGACACACATACTAGAAACAATGCTCTAAGACCTTGCTTATCCCGCAATTGACAACGCTGCAAGTGCAACTCTTCAAGAGAAGGACAAGAACCCAAATGCTCATCAGGACCAGGACTCGAATCCATGTTTTTGCAAGACTGAAGCTTCAATGTTTTCAAATTGCTACAATATGACAATGCCGACAACCACCCATCATCCATCCTGTGATCATAAAGTGTCAACTCCTCCAACATAAAACAGCACTGTCCTATAGCTTTGATCCCATCATAGCTTCCCTCGCATCCAACCAGCTCAAGCTTCAAGAGACGCCTGCAACCCTGAGCCAGAATTGTCAGGCCAATATCTGAAACCATGGAGCTGTAAAACCCATCTAAGCTACCAACCAGCTTCAGTATCTGCAAATTCTTGCACCCTGAAATCCCTCTCAGAGAGAAATCGTCACAGCAATGCAATTCCAGTTCCTGTAAGGTCTTGCATTTATCAGCCACACATTTCAAGCTCCCCTCGCTGGTATTAATCAAAACCATTCTCCTTAGATTGGCGCAGCCCTCTACCAGAATCTTGACTCCTCCATCGACTACTTCCCAATCCAAAATATCCTCTCTCCTCACAAACCCGCCGTTAGCAGAACTTGAATCTAAGTGAACTGATACTAGCCTGTGTGATATCAAAATCCCGGAATTCCGCCCCAGTTTCACACAAGCTCGAAGAATATCTATATCGATTAAATTCGGAAATCTGAAAACAAGCCTCCCTGACTCGAGAAATTCCCAATCCAACAGCTTAATCGATTGAACCAGCTTCCCACTGAGCTTACACCACCGCTTACAAACCAATGAATTGGAAATGTGCTGTGACTCGGGAAGCCTCGAGAGCACATTCAACAACAGCGCATCCGAAAGGAGAGAAGTACAATCCGGGTCGGAGCACTGCCGGTTCGGATCCGGATCGTCGAGTGTCTGGATATCCGAGTCGGGCTCGGACGGCGGAGTCGTAGAGTTGGACAGAGACTGTAACCGCAGTTTATTAACCACATTCCTGAGAGCTTGCTGAGCATCCCCCTTATTCAACCACAGCTGGCCGTCCGACCAGCTCGGCCGCCGCTTCTTCACCTGCTGCTGCTGCTGAGTCGCCGGCGGCGGCGGCGTTTTGTGATGGTTAGCCTTCGAGTTCCCGCTGTCTTCCTCAGGAGCCATGCGCATTCCCGCCGCGAGTCAACGTTTTGCTTCAAGTTAGGGTTTCCGAGCCTTCGATTTTCACCTCGATTTCCACGCTTCCTCCTCTGCACCATCGCCTGCCCCCCCTCCCTCTCACCACTCTCACAAAATCTCCCCTTCCTAATTAGGGTTTACATACATACACCACCCGGCTATACATATAGTGAGAGAAACACAACCGAAAAGAGGTTCGCAGTTCGCGGAGAGATAAGCCTACTTTCTCTCTCTAGATTTTTGGAGCAGATGAGATGAGATGAGATTTCTGGGAACGAATAAATCCTTTTATTTTTCTTTTTCTTTTTCTCCATCGTTCGTCCCCATTTTGTGTGCGTATAATTTCTTTGTTGTTACCTGCACCAGGGTCCACCGACTGTGTTCATGGGGCCCAATGGAATAGCGCCACGTGGGCATGGTGACATAATTACTACGCAGTATATATAGTAATGACTACATTAGAGGAAATCATGTTGTTTATCAGTTTATGTCAATTGTCAAATACTTAATAATGAAATTTCACTGTTTTTTTTTTTTTTTTTGAGAAATGAAATTTCACTACTAATCCATACAAAATAACAAAAACCCTTTTGCATAAAGGCTCCATGATTGTCTCCAAAAGAAAATGCATCATTCTATGCATTGTGCATAAGTTCAAATGTAATATGAGAGGTTTTTTATGTTGTCATAGAGAGCTTTACATTAACAGTTCAACAAAAGTATAATGATAGGTGCTCAGAATTTTAAAAAATAAAATAAAAATATTAAACTTGAAACTATTAATATGACAGGTGGGAAAACTTTTTAAGTTTATGTATCATTGTATCACTTCATTAATTTTTATGAGGTTGATGTGAGATGTATGGTTTTTAATACTCAAACCAGTTTGATAGTATTTGCAACCAAACCTTATTAATTAGAAGCGGAGAGGACATGTTTTTATTTCACACATGCATATACAAAAGAAAATGTTCAAATGAGAACAGGT